ATTCAATGTAAATTAAATTACTTAAATATATTTTTTAGATGTCAAGATATCCTTCAGATTGCAAAGTCTATGTAGGAGACTTAGGAAGTGGTGCAACAAAACAAGAATTAGAAGATGCTTTCTCTTATTATGGGTCACTAAGGAATGTATGGGTGGCTAGAAATCCACCTGGATTTGCTTTTGTGGAATTTGAAGATGCCAGAGATGCAGAAGATGCAATAAGAGGGCTTGATGGAAGAACTATATGTGGAAGACGAGCTCGTGTGGAACCATCCAATGGAAGAAGATTAAGAGATAGGAATTATTTCAGAAGAGGTGTAGGAAGACTATTTCATCCCGAAGATAGGTGTTATGAATGTGGCGAAAGAGGTCACTATGCTAGAAATTGCCAACGACACAGAAATACTCGTAAGAAAAGGTAAGTATAAAATATATTTGTTTTATATAAATTCTATGGCATGCAAAAAAATATTAGACAAGTAAGCAAGAAATATATGATACATATTACATAATCTGATTTAACAAATATGCTTAAATGTACAATGAAATTAACATATAATTATAAATTTATTGTAAGGTTTAAATTTGAATATACTCTAAGCAGGATATTCTATAGCATAAATATTTAGTAAGTTATTTCTTAATACATCAATTAATGGAAATTAATTTTTTAAATTGAATATATGAAACAAATCAAATACGTCATACAGAACAATATTTTATGATAAGAAGACCTTATATACTAAACCAAAGTGGTTTCAATGTCAAGAATGATACCGATGTAATACTGACATTTTTATAGGAGACCCAGCTGAACAGGTATACACATGAGAAATGTGTTGCTACTGAGATTCTCGTGAGATTCGCCTTGGGTTCACTTTGTGATACTACGTAGTTACAGCATAGAGTACCCACGTACCTCGGGTTTCTTTCTGCATTCTACAAGCAAAAGAGGGAAACAAGGCCGATGGAGTGGCTAGTTCTGCACACTACAATACTTCTAACGACCACTGAGATCACCTTAAACTGAAAGTTTTTGCACATCAGCGCTACTGGTACCCCTGATATACTTCACTCGTCTTACTATTTCTGCCAAATTATCATAATAGATCTAATGGTCACTGAAAAGTAAACTTCGAGTCATCTCATCTAGCCACTCTTCGTCCACACATCTGACATTTGTGCAATTTCATCTGTATAAGTACTCATCTGTTCTCTCCTTCTTGGCATTACTATTGCGTACTCTACAACTGTCTGCTACAAACAGCTGTGAAAGATGGTACATAACTAGAATAATTATATATTGGAACAAAATAAACGTAATTGGTTTTTATAAAGTTAGTATAGTATTATATTCATAATACTTAGGAGTTTTAACTAATTTTATTAATATATTAAATAA